TCCCTTCCAAAAGGAAAGCGTCTCCCTTCCAAAGGGAAAGTGACATTTCCCTCCACCGCAGACCCGCGAGCATAATCTGAGCTCTGAACCAGATGCGATTCCATCACCGGCCTGTCTCCCTCTACACGAGGTTTAGTTTATTGATTATCCCGAAGACTTTTTGATTCCTTTTCCTCGAAGTAAGTTTAGGTTCAGGTGCGCGGGCCTCATTGCGCTTCATTTCAGATGCATGGAGCAGCGGGGAAAATCGTCAGCTACGCCTGCTTCAATCTGTTCTTCGATTTCCTTAAATTAGGACGAAGCCCTTTTCCCAAAGAGTACCTCCAAACCTGAAGATCAGTGAGAAGCGCTGGTCAAAGGGGGAAATCCCCTGGATTTGGCATCAGACAGAACCAGATTTGATTCTCGATGTGGCCACCGGCTGCAGGCCACGAGACTGAGTTTCCCTTTCTGTCAAAAGGGAGCAATAACGTTTTGTATCCATCGCAGCCCCGCGGGTGTGCAATTTAAAGAAAACAGCAGGCTCGGGCTCTGGCACACTGCCGGAGCGACGTTTAAGTGTGAAGTGACTTTGGCCTGGAACCGTCGCCGGCCGGGCCGTGGCGTGAAGGCCCCGTTGCGCAGCGGAAACGGCGACACCGGGACGGGGGGAACCAAGCTGCTGCTGGAGCCCACGGGGTCTGCGGACGGGACCGGCCCCGCGTGGGGTGTGGGGCCGCGTAAGCCCAGGGCAGATCTCGGGCGCCGGGATGCGCGGTGCGGCGCTGTCTGTGACCCACGGCTGGGGCCCCCTTTCCCGGCGCTTGCGATGTCCCGCCGGGCCCCAGGCTCTGCGCCTCCGCCCGTGGGGGCCGGGAGGATCTGGAGAAGCGCGAGGAGGCGGGACGCAAGCGAGGGGAGCCCGAGCGGGAGCGCGGCCCTTGTCCCGCGGAAAAGGCCCTCGAGGGTCGGCGCGGGTCCCCACTGTCCACGCTGGCTTGGCCACACCCGGGGAGGGCTCCGTGCGCTCGACAGCGGCTCCCCCCAAACCCTTTCAGCCCACTCAAGCCCTGCTCAGGAGCAGCTCCTGGGAGCAGTTCAAGTCCCAAGCGTCTAAGCTCCGCCGAACGTGCACCCCGCCCCGGACCCCGGGGGGCTAGCGCGGCGCCCCCGTGACCCTGGCTGTCGCCTCCTGGGTGTGGGAGTGCAGCCGCTTCAGAATGCTCCTGCCACTCACGGAAAGTCCTAAGGAGCCAGGACCCCATTCGTATCTTTGCCTGCTTGGAAAACCATTCAAACTTGTGGCAACTCGCATTTGAGTGCTTTTATTAAAAGACTTTTCGGCTACATAGTATCATTTTCAAGGAACTGGGCTGTAACTCCCAGATCTCATCTGGTACTCGGTCGTTGAACCCCCAAACATCTCTTCTTGCCCCTAGGACCCGAAGTCCCTCTTGTTATTTGTTCAACCGACTCCTGACCCTACAAAGCCAGGAGCTGTGTTACACCTGCCCGCTCCCTGCTCCCTACCTTACCTGTCCGGCACTCGATCAACCTCGGCCTCTGTCTGCCCCCGAAAGTGGCGGCGATTATACGCCCTCCAGCCCCTGTCCCCAGAGGGGAGAGTGCGGCGGCAATTAAAAAAACAAAGAACTGGAAAAAGTCTGGGAGGGGAGGAGGCGGTCTTCGGAAACCTCCTCTGGTCCTCTCCTGGCCTGCGAGCGAGCCGGGCCTTACTTCTGCGGCCCTAAATTCACACACCTTCCCCTCCGAGCTGAGGCAGGGCTAGCGCTGACGGGGCGATGACCTCTTCCAGAGGGTGTCTTTCCCGGGCACTCGCAGGGTCTGCAGGGAGCAGGAACACCTCGTGCCCTGGGCTGAAAGCCTTCGAAGTCGAGATCTGAGACTGAGCCCTGACCTCCACGCACTTCCTCCTGCGGGGCAGAAAAAGCAAGAGGTGTGAACGACACCGAAGTCACCAGAGCCAGCGTTGTGTTGAATTAAAATCACAGTTCTTTGCATTTTATCTCATGGTCCAAGTTTGGTAGTTAATGCTGCTAAACCTTTGGTAAAATGTACCGAAGAAAGTTGAATGTGTTACACGGACAAACTTTTTATTTAAAAATAGAGGACATGCACAAGCAACATAGGCTTTGATGTGCCAGTAATATTTGAGTTGCTTACATGTTTTTTTCTATGAGATAAAATCTCGCACTTCTGGTTTGTAAGGAGCAGTAAATGTCAGTGCTAGATCACTACTATGGTTCATTCCCAGGTTTTCTTGTGAACAAATATATAATTGTTCCTATTCCATGTACAAGTGACAGAATACTTAAATAACAACTTGAAAGTTATTTTTCTTCTTTATGCGAATGTTTAACAAACCCCAATTAAAGTCGGTACTGACCGTTCAGGAAAAAAAATGTACAATTCCAGAAACTTTCCCAAAGTCAACTTTCAGTTTCTACTCTGACTTCAGTTTTAACTGTAACTTTTTAAAATTTTTTAATTCCTCTCTAGAAATCGAAGCAAATCAAAGACAGCAAGGAAAGAAAACTATTTTCTAGCGTGTTTTATTTTTCTTTAAAGTAACTGATTGCTTCTGAGAGGAGAATTAGCAGTGAGGAAGCAGCGAAGCTGGTGGTTAAGAAGCATTGTGTTGTTCTTCGACTTTAGGATTCTTCCTAAGAACAGAAACTGCGTGTTACTTAGGAAACTGCATTATCTTGGATTTTCGATGCAGACATTGACCGAACTTCGCACCGGTGCTCTAACAAAGCGCTGGAATGGACGGATTTGTCTGCAGAAGTCCGAAGCCTGGTTCGGAGGCGAGCATCCGGGCTGAGAGAGGATGCTCCCAGGACCACGATTAGGAGCGAAAGGGTTAAGTCCGGCCCCGTCCAAAGCCGCTCAACTTGCCCAGTTTTGTCTCTTAAAATCAACGTCTCCCAGCTGGAGCCAGCCAATCCGCGGCCCGCAGCTCCCCGGACAGCCCCGAGAAGGGGCGTGGCCTGCGGCTGTCAGTCAGGGATGAGGAATGACACCCGGGCGGGGGGTTGGGGGGTGCGGGGAAAGCAGGCAAAGGAAAGAGAAGAAACAGATAAAACCGGGGCACAGGGTAGAGGTGCTCTGCTCCTCTCCGAATCCAGCGGCCGCCGCAGCCTCACGGGAGGTGCTGGGACCTGGAGAGCCAGCCCAGAAGGGAAAACCGCGACCGGCCAGGAGCGAAATCCTGCAGGCGGGGAAGACAGGCTCCAAGAAAAAGGGACTGCAGCC